CGACCAAGGACGAGAGGTGATAGGGATAGAAGAGTGGGTAGACGTACATGCCAGGATAAAAGAACTGCGATATGCCGCCCAAAATCATAACCACACCCACGACGAGGTTGACGATCCGGCTGCGACGTAGGAGTTAGCGCAAACGCGTTCTAGTATAACATTCGGGAAATCTAGTATCGACTGCATGGCGGCGCATTGTGACTGTTCGTCGTAGAAGGGGCTTCGAGGGACTAGGAGACGCACAAGGAGTCGGAGAAGTCCATTTTCGCGTACGGCCGCTGTCTGCTCTTTCAAAGGCGATGTGTGTCGACCGTGTTGTGTAGCAGGATCGATTAAACCGGCGCTATTTATCTGGATGGCGCAAAAGATGGACTCGAGAACTCAGAGTTGAGCTTGTGTTACGCGTAGCGGAGGATGACGATGGTGGTTTGTTGTCGACTAGGCAGATGCTTTTTGGAGCCTCTTGTTGGTTGAGAGTGTTAAGGAGGCTGGCTTCTTTGCAGCCAAGTGACCAAGCTCCGGTAAAGCTTCGCAATCTGTGACAGGGGCTAGACCTTAGGGAGCTACCGCAGAATGGGGCCCTGTCGTCGTCATCAATCATCGGTACCTAGGTACTTAAAACCCCCGGGGCTGTCGGCTGCTCAGCCACATGGAACATCTACCTTGGTATCAACGAGAAAGTCTACTTAACTATAGCCTATACCCTCAGTAGCTCATATCATAGAGTCACATGTAGTTATGGCAGAATACTATTCTATTATTATTGGCCCTGACTGGATTCTTATTTTATTGTAGATATATCAATGACCGAACCCAACATAGGGAGTGCATGGGACATCTCGTGTGATTGATCAAGCCACATTTACACTAGCCACGTGTTAATGTACTATGTAGATTATTGGATCCCGGAAAATCGCGACCTCAACACGCCCTCAAGGTTGTTCATCAAATTCCCCCCTAACTTGTATGAAGTTCACATACATCACAACTCCTTCCAACTTTCACGCGACCCACGCAGAACCACCACCTACTCCTGTTTATCGCCCTACCCATTGACTGTGCCAGCACCTATCGCACAGTCACGCTACCATTACCCCTCGACCCTTCTACACTACTTTATGCAACTAGAGCTTCCCGAGACTCCCAAACAGATCCAACAGCAAAACACCTCTCAATCTCCCCACTACTCCGATCAATATGGCCCCCAGCGCTACGATGCAAGTGGCTCGCCGCACAGCCCCCGGCAACAGCGAGATCTCAGTATGTCGCCGCGCTCTGCCGGTGAGCTCGACTCGCTCAGCCCGTTCGGTCGAGGTGTCCACCCGGATTTCCTTGAAGACCGACTGCGCCGACTGAATGTTGGCGACCAGTCGTCTCCAGGACGGCTTCCTCTAGCCGGCCAACGAATTGCTGAGTATGAGAATGCATTGACTCCTTCTGCTCCGAGACAAGCTCTGGGCTTCAAGGTGATCAAGCGCACCAACAGCGAGACGGCTCGTGTCAACCTCGGTGATTTCCCAAATGGTATGCGCTCGATTAGCACTTTTTTTTTTCAACGCGGTTCTAACCCCAACGTATAGAGATCCTGACTCACATACTCTCACACTTACATCCCGACTCGCACGCCTCCGTCGCTTTGGTGTCTAAACGATTCTACGCCTTGATTACTACACCGCACGCATGGCGCATGGCTTTCCAGCGCTTCTTCCCTGCCCAAGACGCCTTGTTTTCTACTAGCAAGTCGCAGGGAGTTGCATGGGGTGAGGAGGATGGCGACACCGTTCGGTCTGAAGTGCGGGTTTTCACCCGTCTGACCCCACATTCTTCTTGGCGTAGTGAATATCTCTTGAGAACCCGCCTTCTTCGCAGTCTATCTAGAGGAAAGCCTGGCGCGAACTCGGGAGGAGTCGGTGCGTCTTCTCGTGCCGGTCAGAGCGGCAAGAAAGCTGTCGCGGTTTTGACCTACAACACCAAGGTCCCTTCTGTTGTTACTCATGTTCACGCCACATTTAAGCCCAATGGCAAGAAGTCTCCACGGGTCATCCATGGTGCTGCCGACCTGGGTGTCGGTAGCGCAAGCGATCCCACAGTTGGTAAGGTTGAGAAATGGGGTCTAGACGACCCTTTCGCCTTTGCTCAGCTTGACGAAGTCATGCCACAACTTATCCCCTATGGCATGGGGGAGGGGCCCGCGGCTATGCCTAATGTCATGGATGTCAGTCAACCATACGGTCTCGTCGGAGGCGAAGGATTCCCAGGCGGGCGCGTGTTCTTTCGCCCAACCGGAGAGTATCGAGGGAAGTATCTTGGCCAAGAAACCGGTTTAGTTGAAGCTCATCCTGATATCCCCAAAATACCTGAACTCTCTGAAGGTATTTGCTCTGTATGGGTTGCTAAGTCGTCTTCTGTCCCTACTGTCACCCAGTCTATGATTGGTATCATGACTGGGTCATCTCTAGGAGTTGTAACCGCTTATGCCCTCGGCTATGATCCCTCTGGCCCACGATATAGTCCCGGTGAAATAAGTGCTCGTTGGGTGCTGAGCCCCGGCGTGCCTATTATTGCACTCAAGGTTGATGATAGCTACAGTCAGAAGAGGAAAGCTTTAAACCGTGTCTGGGCAGTCGCCCTGAATGCCTTGGGCGAGGTCTACTACCTCACCCAACCTCCAAGCCCACCCGCCAACAAAACCAAAGCTGACGAGAGCACCAAGCTTGCTTGGCACACTGGTCGCTCAACTTATTGGCATCTTGTGGAAGCAACTCGGCGGCAGGCACGTCCCGACGAGTCGGGGAGAAATGCTGTTCGAGGTAGCTATTCCCCCAGGTCTCCTTCTAATGCTATGAGCCTGAAAAGGGACCAAATGATTGCTGAGGCGCGAGAGATTGAGAAGTTCCTTCGCTACAAGCCTTCGCATTTCCGGAAGGTTTGCTACGGCTGGGATATGCGTCGGAAATTGGAAGTGGATTTTGCTAGCGACGACGAACTAGGCGCAGGAGAGAGATTCTTCATTGTTGATTGTGCGTTGGATGATGATGCAACCTGGGCTCTGAGACGCTTTACTCGGACTATCGCAAATCAAGCACAACTAGATGCGACGCCTCCCCAAGTAGCAGATGCCCCTTCAGAATCAGCATCATGCCAATCAATATTCGGCGGTAGTAGTGCTAGATCTACTTCCCCGAATTCTTCAAGTTCTCCCTTACTTAAGCAAGTATTATCGTCGAGTAAACAGTCTCTTTCCCCGTCTACAACTTCAAAGCTGTTGGACGACTGGGTAGAAACGACGTATTTCTCGAAAGAGATTGGAAATGCCAAAATCACCTCTAGCGCCATTGATATGTCGCTCATGGCACTGGTTGCATCATTCGAGGATCCTCTGAAGGATACTTCTACTCCCTCAGCTAGCGGTCCTGCAACACCATCCGGACAGCTATCTTCAGAGATCCCTGGCCGGAGGGCAAGGTTAATTGGTTTGGGTACTAACACTGGAAAAATAATGCTCTGGAACATACGGGCCGGGCACACGGGTGATGGCATCTTCCCCGTCCGTGTTATTCAGACGGAATCGCCTGAGGTCTCATGTTTGGCTCTCTCAGCTCTCTACTTAGTCCATGGAGGGAGTGACGGACTGGTCCAGGCTTGGGATCCCTTGGCTTCCACCTTGGATGCGGTCCGCACTATCAATTCTCGTTCCCCCACTCGCATGCCTCGCCATCTCCTTGCTCTGAATCCCACCCTGGCCGATACGAACTTTTCGTCTGTCGGTGCCATTTATCTAGACCCAGACCCGACCGTCCTTCATGGGGTTGTGGCTTTCGGTACCTTCGTGCGATATTGGGCTTACAGTTCATCGAATCAGGCCCCAGGCCGCAAGCGTAGGCTACGACATTCAGACGTTCAGGCTCGCCTCACTGGACGACGTCACGGTGGGGGTGTCAAAGGTTACATTGCTGCCGAGGCTGAAGAGCTCCGCGACGAGCAACGACACAAGGCACGAGAACAGGCTCGCCTTCGGTCTCGGTTTGGAGTTGGAATAAATAACCTTAGTGAAGAGGAAGCCCTCCAGTATGCGGAGATGATGTCTCAAGAGTCGTATTTAGACGAGCAACGGCGAATAAGTACTAGCGACACTGGCTCCGCCGCGGATCTCGATACCGCCTCAACAACCGGAAGCATGGATACTATCACACCCGATCCTAGTGTTACCGATATGAGTCCCCCAACTAGGAACAATAGTACCACAGCTGAGACTATAAGTGAGAACGAGTACGAACTCCAGATACAAACTGCCATCCGATTGTCGCTCTTGGAAGGCATTAACGATTTTGGTCGGTCTCCAAAGGGCAATAGCTCGGGCGAATTTGATGGCCCTATCACCTTCAAAGGGAAAAAGGCCAAGCGATCCTCGTCTAGCTCCCCGTCACCTAGCCATACACCCATGGTCAAACAGGCTGGATCATCGTCGAGGGCAATAATGGCCGCCTCTGCGGTTACAGACGATGATCTAGAACTCGCGTTACAGCTTAGTCTTGCTGAAGAGGAGAGCAGAAAGACAATGGATACTCTGAAGAGTAGTGAGGACGAATTTCCCCCGCTTGGTGGGGATGGATATGGCAAGGGGAAAGGCAGGGCGATGTAACATGTGAGGGCCGGGGAGAAGTTCGTGAACATTAATTTCGCTTCTTGCACTACCTGTTTATTACATTCTTGCCGATAGGCTTAATGATTTTACCCGACCTTATCAATCAATTTCGAGTTTATCTCCCCAAACCAAATATGACTTATTCTCCTACCCATGTATCTATCAACTCAACTTGAAGCTTTTGATGTCAATCAACGGCTCTTGACTCACCATTCTTTGCAAAATCTAACATAGTTTGATTACCTAATTACGCTCAAACCATAAAACACGGCGTCAGAACCATCCTAGAGTACGATCTAATCAGCGTTACGGACACCTCTTTCCATCGAACAAGTTCATCTAGCAACAGATTCACGGTCTGGTGGTCTAGTGGTATGATTCTCGCTTAGGGTCCACCCTACAGCAATGCATGCGAGAGGTCCCGGGTTCAATCCCCGGCCAGACCCGTACTTTTGCTGTCCTGCGCAACTGATCTTTTTTTGCAGTTAGTTGTTAGTTAGTCAGTTAGTTGTGTCTCCTTTTTCTTCATGCCCTTCCTTGCCACAGCCGTAAGCCGGTGAGTGTGGAGTGGCTAGTGGGCGGGTGGGTGGTGGCCTTTCATTCTTTTTTTGCCCTTGGAGATCAAATCATCTCCGTGTTTTATATAAGGTTGATAGGTAGATAGAGAGAGAGATATATATAGTTATATATGTGGGTAATCGTTAATCAGGTAGCGTTCCGATTTGATTGCTTAGCAAGTGAGACTATTTGACCGAGTCATTGAACAAACACTCACAAGATTGGTTTGTTGCCAGAGCCACAGGTATTGAGTGATTCGATATCACGCACGGCAGTTGTTGCTTAGAAGAAGAAGGTTGAGTTAAGTTGTCAAAAAACGTGAAGAATTGAATAACGATGAATTCTCCAAACCACACACACCATATGCTTACAGACAGACTTAAAATAATGAGTTAAGTTAAATCTAAATACGAAATTGGCATAATTGCTTATAAAGCTTAATACAACGCCACAGTTGAGAGAGAAAGGGCTTCTCCGGTTCTCTAGCTTTCTAAGCTTTTAGATATGTACTCCCTAAACTAAAATGCACGGAGAAGTCTAGAGCGCAATGTGGCCCTAACTTGGCCGTCGCGTCGGGCGTTGAGCACCTATGAGAGAGCTATTATAAGAAGGTTGCGACTATCTCTTCTGGAATAATGAATTGAAGATAGGAGTAATTTTCCCGCCCCCCCTGATCGTAGAAATATGTATATCTGTTAGTAGAATCGGCCATAAAGTGAATAGGCGGCTAGCCTTCGGCCAGGAGGAAGTGTAGTATAGGACTCAATAGAGCAGTCAGTTGATTCCTGGACTTCCCGGGTCCCTAGGGACCTGACAACTATATTTATAACCAGATTCCGGGAATATAATCGACTTACGGGCTGGTTACATAGTCACCTGCCAGTATATCGCTAGATAGAAAAGGCCGCCAATTTAAGACCATCATCGTCATCCTTGTATACCCTGAAGTAGTTTAAATGACATGCTCTATTGAGTTAAACCTGCGCCACATCACTCAAAGGGTGTACGATTATGCGGCTTCGGTAGGACTAGGAAGTAAGGATTGTATCTACGGCGTTGTAAACGAGTGTGTTAGTGAGAACTCAGCAAGGGGGCGTTCGATTTTGATGTGACGGTTGCAAAGGCGGGGAGCACCAATGAATTCGTGTCGTATATTTAGTTAGTTCTCGATAATTTTATGCTTGTAGGACGTGACAGGAACTTAGACCCATGATTTGAGGTGGATAGCCATAGTTGCTAGACGTCAGTGGACGTGCAGAGAGGTAAGTAACATCACGCGTCTTTATAGGTATATATGTAAGTTTTGAATCTGGAGCCTCGTAGTCCCTTTCGTATTAGTAATATTTTACAAGGCTGGTACCATATACTTAAAACAGGGTCTCAGAGCGTTAAGACACGCAAGTGAGCTTGATGCTATGTTTCTTTATTCAAGTCTAGAGAGCTTATTGCTTCTCAAATATAGCTACAGGTAACCAAATTTGCAATTCCCAGAGACCCGGGGGTCTATCGCCTGTGTGGTGCGGTGCTAACGTTTCTCGTTACCACATGATTGCTAATTTGATTCCTCCCAACTCAGCTCGGCCCCTGCCGTCCAACACATAAACGTGCATTTAATGCCGTAACCATAGTTTGGAATGGTATCCTCATTGCTGATTTGTTGACTCCCGAAAGCCCGTATATGCAGGCTCCGTTTCGTCCCGTATTTGACTATCAAGTTCGTGACTTTGCGTCATTCAAACGAGGAATTCTCCTGAATCAGGTATCACCTCCACAAGTGTTTCTTAGCCAATATTTGATCCATCCATCGATTTCAAGTCCGCGCGGGAATTGAAAGACCGTGTAAAAGGGTAGTCAGAACAATGAGATAACCGAGTAGCCGTGAACTCCGTCGCTGGCCTAGATATCTGTGTAGGCATCCCAAGGTATATGTAGAGATATATATGCGTGAATGAGAATCAAATATACTTCAAAAAGAATAAAAGGGGCAAAAAGAGATGAGGTGCGTCTAGCGAGTAAAATTAAGGAATGAGGTATATAAATGTCGAGCGAGGCCTTGATGGGTTTTGAGTGAGGAAGAAATTTTTGGTGGTATGTAGCGAACAACTAGTGTCACCGTTCCTCCTCCTCCCAGCTATACCGCCGGTGGGCCATTTGGGGAACGTGTACGATATCGAAGCCATCTATTCTTCCGAATGCCGTCCTGTTGTCCCGCGTTACTGCTACTCTTGCTTCCTCTTCAAGTGTGTAATTGCTTCCCAACGTATCAGCTGTAGAGTGCCGCCTCGAAGGATTTTCGGACGCAATGGTGGGCATCGTGGGTAAGGCGTTGCCATGGCTTTGAGTAGCGGGCGGTCTTTGCATCATGAGCTGGTGCGGGAGTCGAACATTATCGGGCAAGGGCCCAAGACAGACGACATGTGCAGAATCGATTGGCGTTCTTTGGATCGGTGGCTGTACTGGCATAGGAATTGTCGCCTGAGAGCGGATAGATGCAACTGACGACGCGGAGCGTGTAACCATTGTTGAATTATTCGCATCCGTGGGCGACGGTGGCGTATGAGCCATCGTTGGGTTTGAAATAGTTGATCTAGAAAGTGTTCGAGCTGGGAAGAAGCCAGCTATCGGGGAAGGATAGTCCCCGAAATAAGTTGAGCCATCGCTAGGAGGCGTTATCGGAGAAGGTATTCTGTTCATATCATGCTCTTGAGTTGGACTGGATGCAGGCGAGGGACTGTCGCGGTAATGGGTATTAATCGGCGGCGGAACATGACTGCCAGCTCTAGTATTGATGTCGGTAGGTTTTGAAAGGTATTCTGTTTCTCCAGCTTGAGGTGGCTGGGCCCATTGTTGGGGTCGTTTATACGAAGCCGGGCTAAGGGTGTGTTCCCCAGCAGGAACCGCGAAATAGGCACTCGTCGTCGTCTCGGTCGCGTCGAGTTCTACGGGCAATGGGGCCGGCATTTCATAGCGTTCATGGCTCCAGTCCGCACCTACTTCATGGGCTTCGATACGACCCTCTTTGCCTGGTTTGACGGGGCAGTTCTTCGCTCGCGTCTTCATTCGGAATAAGGTCATTGCCACAGGGCTCATTGGTGACTCTGGCTCTGTCGTAGAGTACTTCTCCTTGTATTCCTCCGTTTCATTCTCGTTCCTGTGTTCTTTGAATGGATTCCTCTTCCGTCGTCGCACGAGAACCAGCGTTGTGACAGCCGCGATGGCCCCCAAACACACACCTACCACAACCCCTGCTATTTGGTTTTGAGTTATGTTGTGGCTTCCACCCGGTTTAGGAGGTGGTCCGGGATAGGGGCTGTTAGGAGATGCCGCGATGGTTTGAATTGAAGTATTCCTCAATGGGTTGTCGGGGAATCGAGCCTTATGTATCGAGAACGTACTTGTCTCATAGTTAGTAATCATATAAGCTTCCTGCAAGAATGAGCGTCCTATGATGAACTGGCTTCCATTCTCGGCTCTTTTTAGCGGAAAGTATGGAATTGCGGGTGCGCCGTAGTCTATGAGGTTCATAAATGGATATTGAAGACTCTGAACGAACGCATTTGCGGAGACGGTGATATTGACGATGCCCGACATATTTGTTGGCGAACCAAAGTTGTTCCTGTTGTCTAGGCTGGAGAATGTGAATGTAAATGAAAGGTCAGGCGCTGATTGGTAACGCTCTAAGTTGTCGTTGTTGGAGAACAGATATAAGCCAAGAGTTTCGTTCCACGTTAGGTTGAGGGCGTTGGCGAAACGATCGCATACTGCTGGGGGAAGCCATAGGTAAGGGGTCGAACTATCAATCATGGCGGTTACAGATTCATTGAACGACAGCAAAGGCATCGACGAAGTGGACCACTCTAGAGGTGCTTGTTTAACATCAGTCACTGATGCAGTGATTGCCCTTACCAGAACCTGTGGCTGTCTTGTTGTGGCGTTCAGACTAAACCGAACATCGTGCGGTTCAAAGCGGTTGGCATCATAGCCTCCTAGTGTGAGAGACATCGGGATGCCCCTTGCGCCGGCTATTGTTTGTTAGCATCTGCTATCTGGTTGGTAAGGTGTCTACTTGATGTTTACCATAATAAGCTCCGGGCGTATAGCCGTAGCTGTGACTTGGTATTAAACCACTCTGTTCTACCAACGACGCAACTGGACCTTGTGCAACAACACCGCCAAAGTTCCCCTGCGTTATCCCTAGACCAAAGAAGCCTGTATAAGCAGCTGTGTCATTGATGCCGGCGACAAGCAATTTATTGAGCGAAGTTTGCCATCGTCGGACACTATTATATACGACAACTGTCTCCATGGCATAATCCCCATTAGCGTGGACACCGATGGACTTGAGTCCAAGTTGCCATAGCCCCATGGGTGACCAGCTGTTTGAAGCCGTTCTATTGAACACGCCTCCACGGGCATCATCGCAGAGAGGACCTAGGCGCAATGGTCAGCAGCTTTGATCGGTAACATTTTCCGAGACGAATCTATAAACACCGGGAGAAAGTCCATATTCTCCTCCTTATGGCGCATCAAATACTTACTTCCACATCCGCTGTCCTCGACGACCCATACCTCGGAAATACTTGTGCTCACCACAACATCAATTTCCTGGGCGGGCTCGCCTACGAAGAGGGTCGTCGACGACCAATTCCCATCGATGCCATGCCTAGACGACAGTTAGTCCCCAGGGCTGCCTCAAGTGGTCGATCGGGTTGGACCTGCCAATTTAACGACGGTTCGAACCATAGTGCGCTGGGCTCATCGGCGTGAACGAGACTGGGCGTGAGTATAAGCGCCCCGACAAAAGCGACGAGGGAACGCCTCCTCGACATTGTCTTGCGGTCGTCGCACCACCTGACGGTCGTACACGGAGCCCGAGGTCACCACTGGT